CGGTCGTAAAATATTTCAAATAACTAGCTTAAATTTTAATGTATAATNATATATATATATATATATGTGCAACAACATTTTTATGAACAAAGTCCAGATGGTCTAGATTTCAAAGATCCAGGATATAATTTTAAAACTTTGTTATACAAAATCTATTTTTATTATAAGCTGACTTATCACACTCTTTTAATTTTGTTTTAATATAAATTTAATAAGAAATTTCTATTGTTTCAATTTCCATTGTTAAATTAAATACATTTAATTTTCTTGCCGGTAGTATATCTTCCATGGAACAAAATGAAATTTGTTTTAGTTTGACATCGTTTTGAAATAAGGCAATGACGATACACTTTGTTCTCGGATCTAGAACTTCCTGGTGGACGAGCATCAGCTTAGGCAAGGAAATTTCTCAAGTCCTGTAAACTGTGGTGAACCATGTGAAACAAGTTACGTATAAACAGAGAGGGTAAAATTGGTAAGTCAAGAAAATACATGATGTCGAAAGTTTAAATTCCTGAGAAATCCTAAAATTTATTTACGCTGCAGTTATATGACCAATTTACCAATGAACATCTTTCCCCTGTCGTTATAATAGTCTTCACGAAATAATGATATTTTATTATATATTTTATATATTTTATTTTCTATTATATATTTTTTATATTATTTTACTAACAGATAAATATTCCTAATTATAGTTTCAAATCCTGATCTATTCAAATGTCAATTTGCTTACTAAGATGTTCAAATATATAAATTTTAATGGTTGAATTCTGAATATTTTGATTTATTTATTCATTTACTATTAAGAGATTAAGAAATAATGTACTTCTGATAGTAAGTATATATATACATGCAAATCAATAAAGATTATCTATATGTGTTTGAATTTAAATTTGCTTGAATAGCAATATCTAATCTGAATCAATAGTGATAAATAATTTGTTACTATATAAGTTTCATTTTGAATAACATCTTCCTAAGATGTACTCCCTACTGTGATGAAATTGCGAGCTTGAAAAATTTCTACATTCCAGAAAAACAATTCTTCCACAAGAGCATTCTTGAGTTAATTCTTGTAATGGAAAACTTCTTATGGAAAAAAAAAGAATCGTTGCAATGAAGAATAGATAAAAAAATATGTTTAGCAATCTTGTTATATTTTATTTTAAACATCTTTAAAACAAATTTTTGCTTTAGTTATTTTATTATTATTACATTCATAAAATAAATAAAAAATAAAAAGATACCAGTATATTATTAAATTAAAATCAATATTCATATTTTCAGTTTTGCATTTTATAATTATTGAAATTATATATTAAAACTTTCGAAAAATAATTAAAAAAAATTAGTTTATTTTAAAATATCAAGATTGGAAATGTAAATACTTGAAATGAAATGATTAAAAATTGTTTAATTTATAAATATTATATTCATTCCATAATCTGAATAAGAAGGCTTATTTATCCCATATAAATGACATATTAGAATAATATCTACTCCATAGCAAGGGAGAGAATTTGATCAGACTCTTTCATATTAAACATATAGCGTAAAATTCGCCCAGCGTACAAATATCAATCAAAATGAAAGTATTTATTTTTGAAAATATTAATCGCTCTAATTATTATTCCACTTTTGATTATTTTATCTTTAAAAGATAAAATTGTCAATCTTGATATAATTAGAGAGTAATTTAACATGAATTTTTAAATATTCATCAATAAATGGAACTATAATTTTAATTAATGAATACTTCATTTTGAATTGTATGAATTTTCAATAAAGAAAATTGAACAAAATATATCTTTATAAAAAAAAATATATGAACAGCTTTCAATCTTATTTCCTTTTTCGAATAATGAAACGCATTTATGTTAAAATGAAATAAGTACTGTACTATAAAAGATTACATTTTATATGTTTTTTTTTACTTTCCAAAAGACTCAACAAATAAAAGCGCAAAATTTATATCTAAATATCTAATTGCATAGCAATAATTCTGCATATTTTATTTCTAAAATTCAGGAAATTATTATTACTTATATCTAATAATGATAACACGAAATTTTATTAATTCAACAATAATTCAACAATATAACAAATTAATGTATATTTAAAATTAATACTTTAATGTATATTTAAAATTAGTATTTAATACAATGAAACACATCAAGTGTAAAATCTTCAATTTTCGCTTATGCTACTTCCATTATCACAATTTATAGCACATTTATACATCTATGCAATGGAAAACTATTACCTATAATAAGATATTCTTTGGGAAATAAATTCTCCTTCACGTCAATGCAATAAATTTTGTAAAACAGATTTTGTTGTCCACAGATATTCTAATTTATACCGAGGAATTTTTAGAACTTTTTATCTACTGTAATTTTTTTTATCTATTGTAATTAAATGAAGAAATAAACATAATACAGGATATTACGAATTCTGTTATAAATGGTAGACGATCTAGAATATTAGCTGTTGTTAGTTATTTTAAATGGAATCATCAGTTAAATATGAGCATTATAATCTAGATATCACTTTATAAGCATGAAAACTTTAGCATAAAATTAAACATAAAACTTAAGCATAAAATTGTGATTGTCGTCCATAATAAGATACATAATTTTATCATGAATTTTAAAACAAAAATAAATTATAATATTAGAGTAGTAAGAATTATAAAAAAAAGGATAAATTGTTTGTTACAGATTAATTTTTTAGCCTAATCGAATTTACGATTGAAATAATTAAATATTTATGATATGCGAAATGGCGAAATCTATTAAATATACGTAAAATGAAATGCAGTTAAACTTCACAAATGAGGTTATAATAAAATGAGGTTTCGCAAAACGATCGATCTCTCTTTTGCTTATACAAAATGACAACTTTCTCATAAAAATTTTTCAGAAAACAAATTTGCAAAAAATTTCTTCTTTTTCTTTTATGCAACTGGAAAAGAAGTATTATTTCGTTTCCGTTCCAATGATATTTGTTCATGGAAGTTTACAATTGTCGAAAGAAAAGATAATACTCTAACTCTGTACATATATTTGTTTGCGTTCATATATTGCGTTCATATATTTTAAAAGAAACTTCAAACATAGTCAATATATCATATGACTTACTCCAACTTTTTTGAAACAAGTTCAAGTATTTTACTTTCAAATTCTTTCTCTTATTTTATATTTTTTACATTTTTTTTTCTTTTTCTAAGTAATATTATAGATAATATTAAACTTTACATGTTTAAATTATTAACAAAAGTAAATCTCTATCTATTCCAACAAACAATATTATAAACTCGGAAGGCGCCATTGTCGCAGAAATTATTAATCAAATTCATATCTCAAAAATTTTTTTTATTAATATTCAATTAATTTTTATGCATATTCTCAGGAGTAAAATCTTAGTTTTTTTTTTTTAAATATAATTGTGTTTTCATTATGATAATTCTATATATATATCAACATGTCATTTAGTTGAAAAAATACAAATTGGTCAAAAATATCGAATACGCATGCGCAAATAGTGTTTTCGCGCCGTGAACATCGTAAAGGCCGGCAGTTAGAATCGAACCTCTGCACGTGTCGGTTATCCTTTTATCATTTTATAATAGAAAAAAAAGTTTTGGTGTCGAGATGTTTTATCTGTTTTGTATTTCAATATTTCTATACAACATGAATTACGTATTGTGTAGTTGATGTTGATTCACGGAATAATTTTTAATCGAACGTGCATAATACGTGTGATCGCTCACGCGTTTGAAGCATGGCTATCATGCAATCCTGTTGCTGTTGGCGGTCCGTAAGAAGAGGTAGCTTTGCTTGTGCTATTTATGTTGGGGTAAGTATTATTATTATTTTTCTCTATTCGAGATATTTCAATAGTTTTTCCATTAACAAATGTATTTTTTCGTGATATTATATAGATATTTAATGAATATATGACATGTATTATAAAATACCATACAATAAAAGAATATTTTGATTTAAAATGTCGGTGTTCTATCGACTGAAAAAGCAATCGAAATATAAATATTTATCGAAAAGAAATAACACGTATACGCGATAAAAATACACATTTTACAAATGTGTCATACACGATATTAAAAAAATATAAACGTATAAATAGGATATATTGACAAACATAGCAGTAACGTGTTTTAAAATTTTAATCCTTTTTTTTACTGTAGTAAAATAAAGTATTTCTTTGCAATAGGGATACAACAAATTATTTAGTTAATACAATTTATTGCTTTTTGCTATATACAATGTTTTCTATAACTTATAAAATTAAAAAAATTAGAAAACGAACTTCAAAAATATTTATGAAATTATCAAATGAATTTTTTAAATAAAAGTATCGCGTTAAATGAATAATATATTTAATTATTTATTTTTGTCCAATGATTTAAACATAAATTCTTTTAATTGATCTAAGTTCTATGCTATTAAACAGATGTATATTTATTTTATTGAAATATAGAATATTATTTTATATTATGAAAATTTACCAAAGAAAAAGTAGTTATTTAGTTCCAAGGAAAGAAACTTAGCTTTCTTTAAAAGAAACTGAATAAAAATAACAAAATTGTGAAATCTTTCTTATTTTATTGTTTGCAAAAAAAAAATAGAATATAAATAAAAAATAGTTATGGACAATTATATATATATATATAGATTAAAATATAGAAGTCACTAATATTACATTCGTTTGATAGTTAGTAATAAAAAATTTATTAAATCTTGCCAAACTTTTGCATTACTTGAATGAAAACATATAAATATGCAATGATAAAACGAGCAAAATTTTCATTGTGCAAATTTTATGATATTTACTTTTTCTTTTTAATTTTAACTGTTATAAATCATATCACAACAATAAAAAATCTTATAATAAAAAAATTTATGCATCACCAAAATTAATTCATCAAAATTTTATTGCTTAGGCAGGATTGTATACAACTATAAACAAGTGTATAGTCATGAAATGCATTATGTATTTGTAGACATATATCCAATTCTCGTAAAGAATATTTATTTTTGTTATTACCTGATCGTTAAATAGCTTATGAATCATCTTTTAACTTTGCAAATATGAAGTTATTTGCATTAATATTCGGATGTATTTCTGAATTTGTTACTTTATAAACAGGATTATTTAAATATCGCGTCTCTTATGATATAAAGCCGATTATTGTATTTGAATGCATATATATGAAATGTATTGCTATAATATTTATTTACACAATAATTTGAACAAAGAATATTACGTTTTCGTAATATTTTTATATTCAAGTATATTCAACTATCATTATTTATGAAAAAGAAATTGTTTTTTATTTCATGAAAATTTAGAAAAAATATAGACGTAATATATTACTTTCATTTATATATTTACTCAAACAATATTTTAATAGTTTTAATATATTTAAAATAATTTTTTGTATATGATAATATTTTTACATATTATAAATAATGAAGTATTTAATTCTATTCAAATATTAATTCATATAAAAAGTATATTATAAATATACATATTGCTACAAAATAAATTTTTACTTAATTATTTTTCGAATTCAAGCTTTTCGAATAATTTTATAAAATTTACAATTTGAAATATTTCTTTATAAATGTAATATTTTTTTATAATTCATAGAACAGAGATAGTGAAAATGATTAGAAAATTCTTTCTCGATCTCTAAAATACGACTAAAAATCGATAACATTCTACATCAATTTAACTCAAACAAAATTTTAGAAATTTCATTCGGTATACGCGGAACGAAACTAGATTCGATAGATTGGTTTTTCAAAAATTTTCTCCAATTCATTCGATTGAGTTTGAGAAATGCATTTTGAATTACTTTTTTAAATCGCGAAAGATTCGATACATATTGCAGAATATAAAAAATTGCAAGAAAAAAAGTGACAATGATAATTAACGTTTATGCAACACATCTTTTGAATCTATTGGCGTAAAAATCGCTCTACATTATAAAATCTATCTTTAATGTTGAATTTCCCTTAAAAAAAAAACTTATGCTTTCGGATTTTTCTATCATTATTCACATAAACAAGACGTCGATATATATATCTTAACTTTTATCATCAAATTCCAGAATTTCAATGATGCTACGTCTTTTTTAAATTTCTAATTTTTCATAATATTTCAAGCAGAAAATTTCAATATATCTTCATTCTGTAAGTAACACGAATAAAGCAAGAATTCAACGTTTCAATATAATTAATATAAGTTCGATTGAATATAATTATATATATAAATATAGTTTTCATCGAGAACTCGTTTCACCGTATCGCGTTAAATTAAAGATATCCTATATTGGAAAATTTCTCACACATGTACAGGATAACAGTGAAACGGAATTAGTTACATCGACCTGGTTGGAATAAAATTAACTTCTTGAAATTTTGGTGCCACATGTCGCTTTCGGTTAGTTTTAAAGACCTTCGACATCCGGTTTCCGTTTTCGACGATCCTGTATTTACGATATCGTCTTCCGCGTCGTTTAATTCTTTTACGCTTTTTCGCAAACAAATATATTTATTATTCGACAAGATATATCTATGTTTAAAACGAAACCAATCAATTTGTGTTTCGCAGTCAATACATTGATCCGAGAATAGCGAGAAATATTCGTCCCAAGATTCGTTTTTTATATGTCATGATGTGAAATATGTGTATGTTTTTTCTCTATACGAAATAACGAAGTTGCTGTATATTTAAATTGAGATTCGGAATTTAAATTCGATTGCAAATTTTTCATTCTTTCCGAAATAATTAAATTCCGAAATAATTAATTCCTCGATCAAATTTCGATAATATGAATATAGGGTCTTAAGAAAAAATTAAATAATTTTATTAATATTAATATCTTTGGTATGTTATATTAAATAATCATATATTATTTTTTTTGATTTTGATTCATTTCTTTTTTTATTTATTTCACAAAATAAATTCTATCTATAATTGAAATAGAATAATAGTTTTCTATTTTTTTCATAGTTAGACTAAAAGAGATAATGGCATTTCTTCTTTTCCTTGAAATTTTTGTAATCATTATTACTATATTCTAATAATTTCGTTACTTGCATTTTACTTTTTACTTTTAGAAAAAAAAAATATAAAAGATTTAACTTTCATGATTTGAATGATCATGACAGATATATTTAAAAAATACATTAAAAAATCATAAAAATTTCATTAGGAAGAATTTATTTCGTAAAATAAATTGGAAAAAAATCAAAATTTATATTCTATATGACATTTTATATTCGGAATAATCTACCATTTTACGATTTTATAAAATTTTTCTGAAAAATTTCAATTATATTAAAACTTCTATAAGATTGAATAATAAAATTAAACAAGTAAGAACGAGAAGTTGAAACAATGTTAAAGTTTGAACGGAGAGAAAAATTAGTATAGTTATCTAAACGTTCGAAAATCTTTGAACGATCGAATTAAACTCGTGCAATTATTATATTTTTTTTATGGATTTTATGGATTTTAAAACCAAATGGAATATATCGACTATAGCTATAGTAATAGAAAATTTAATTTTGACTGGAATTATGGAAGAAGAGCAAAGCAGCTGTATCGGCAATTGATGTTTTATAAAGACATATCCAAATCGTTTGAACTGCAGTGGAATATCGGTAGAAAAGCATCTTTGAACCTTTATTACTTGACATTCTTTTCGTTGAAGTTTCGAAGGGGGTAAAGGATAAAAAGAAAGAAAAGCGAAGAAATAAGAATTAAAAAAGTTTTGATGAAAGAATCCAATGTTCGTTATTGCATGAAATTAATGATCAAGTTACAAGATATAATTTATTTCAATTAAAGTCAAACTTTCCTAAATTCCAATTTTGAGTGCATTAAGCAGTGATACCTTTTGTTGATGAAGTTTCCTTTTTGTTGAATAAATTCTTTAATCAAAAGTTCGTAATAGAATGATTAAGTTTAACCAAAAAGCTTTTCTTTTAATAAAACATATGAGATTTATTGGAGAGATGTTATTGGAGATATTTCTTCTAGAAAGTTTTCTAACTTTATCCGATAAATACTGGAATGAATGAATGATAGTCGGATATTTTGATCGATTATAATGAAAAATTTTTTCTCAAAGACGCAAATTTATCTAGTTTGTGCATCAATCCCTCCTTATGAAATACAAAAATACAAAATTGAATCGTATATATTTCGTAAATTATATTTACTTCGGAATTTTAAATTATTATTCTAGAAAAATAATCATTTTATTGTTCTAAATTTTATCCAATTGGAAATAAAAGAAGCTTACGATTTTAAATATATAATTTTGACCGAGATATTCAAATGAATGATAAAAATATATTTACAAGATATATGGAAAAGATGATTTTATTCATAAATTCCATTGAACCAAATAACATCGAAAAGGGATTAAAGTATTAAATGATCAGACACGAAGAGATTTCGGAACAAACGAAACAGTTTAATTAAAACATTTATGCAGGAAATCGCACAGTCATTTTAATCCCGTTTGAAAAATCGTGAAATCTAACACTTTCCGATCGATAAAATTTAATATTATCGAGTTTACAAAATGATCAGAATCACGTTAAATTAAGATCAAATTGTTGAGCTTACGAAATGATTAAAATTGTTTTAATTAAGATTAAATGGGGTTAAAATCGAAAATGAGAAATACGAGACTCAGATATTGCTGATTATATGAGATGATTTCAAAATTTCACATTCCTATTCGAAAATTTCATAATTAATTTAATATACATTAAATTTAATTTTATTTACTTCGTTCTTAATTACGATTTATTCAAAAAATTATTAAAGTCAATTATCTCAATCAATAGATACATCAAACGCGAAAAGAAAAATATTTTACTGTTTCAACTGTTTATTGTCGTGTTTACCTTATCTCTTATAAATTTATTTTATAAATTTAGACAAAATATCTATTCCTCTATGAAACAAATATTTGAAAAGGAAAAGAAAAATGAAGAATGTTAAAAAGAAAATAGAAAAAGGAGAAAATATAAGAAACGAGATATTTCTAAACCAATTACACATCTAGAATTTTATAATCAAGTTATTGCAGATGTATAAAGAATAAAAGACATGAAAAACTTTTCTGAGAATCATCTACCTTCGACGTACGATATTATTAAATGAAACGGTGTAAGAGAAGCAATAGAGTAACATATGCCATTACACAAATTTCCTATTGAGTTTCTTTAGCTGACACGTCATATCTGGTAGAGAAACCAACAATTTATCTCTCGTTCTTTCAAATAGGCTATCATCTCCTTGTGGATCGTTTTTTTTATATCACCTTCCCTCCCTATTTTCTTTCAAATTGCGGCCATATCTTCTTCTTCGATAGCTTATTGAATTCGATAAAGGCGTCGTTTCATGGATATTTCCTTGAATTACATTTTATTTCGCGATACACAGGAATTTCATGATATAACGTTGCTAGTTACGATAATACAACGTATTGCGCTTCGATTAAAATTTAAAGAGAAAGAATGCTTTTGACGAACTTTCGAAAATTGAATTTCAATCGATATATGCATTCCTACCAAAAACATGAGAAATGGTCTATTTTCGTGTTACAAAGTTTTTTAGGTTTATCGATCAAAAACTGAGAACAGATAGACGAATGGATGGTAATACGAAGATATATTTCACAGTTGAATCAAGATATAAATGATAAAGATATCAAGATAAAATGAAATTTTATACATTTAACTTTAATGATGAAATACTAGATGGCTACTTTTGCAGTTAGAAAGGAAAATAATCTCTTTCTCATCGTATCCAGAAAAAAGATAGAAAATTTTCTTAGATCTTGTTACCTTAATCTTCGTTAATCCACCATAAAATCCAAACTATTAATTGACGATGATTAATCATTATTTTATATTATTCATTTATGGATTAAATCTACATTTCAAGCGTACTGAAATAATTTTCCTTCTGTCATTTTTCTGTAGCTTTATGTCACAAACTATATCGAGTTTTACATAACGTCAAGAATATTTGTTTTTATTAAGCATAGAATTCTACAATAACAATAATATTCGTAATATTCTTATTACTCAATTTTTTATAATTAAATGTACTTTTATTTATAACTTTTTTTATGAAGAATTGTTTATTATATATTTTATTATATATTATATATATATTACTTTTTATTACTTCAATTTTTTCAAAAACGAATATATCAAATAAAAAAAAAATTTATTTTCACGTAGTCATCTTCGATTATCTCTTCATATCTAGTCACGTAACCAATTTCACGAGTACATGACATCTTTTCAAACTTAATTTTCTCGACAACGAATTTATTCCAAAAAAATTGTCACTCTATATTTTCATTTTATTTTAAATAAGGAATCACTTCTATTCTTCGATTCGTACGCGATTTTCGATAGATATTTAAAGATATTTAAACTTCACGAGCGTGCAAGATCAAAAGAACAACGACGAAAGATTGTCTTCACACGTTGTAAATATTCGCAAAGTTAATAACACTTTTGAGGTACAAAATTGGTTCAAGGCCGACATGACTATCCGACAAGAGACAATAAATTGGGAGAAGCAATTTCAATAACGTCACGTAGAATCGATCCCTCGTCCAACAAGTATAGAGGCGCAACGCACCCTTGAAGAAGCACGCCTTTTACCACTTACTCATCCTTCTCAATTTCTTCTTATGTACTTATATATCATGTTTCATTATTGACAAATGTTAACAAGTACACAATTGACAAAGTGAATTTTGTAAATTTGTGTATTTTATATAATTTTTCTTCTTCTCGATGAATATCCATAAGTGATCTGGAATACAAAAGTTATAAATGATCAATGGATGAATTTTTTTATTCCATATATTATAGAATATAATGATAGTTTTTCTGATGAACTTTGATCTTAATAAGAAGTCATATTTGTACTCTTTTTTCTTCGAAAAGATTCAGTTAAACCTTATTAGAATAATAAAATGCTTATAAGCATGCATTTAGGAAAAGGATCAGTTAAGATTGAGTTGCAAAGTCTAAGTGGATTAACCTAGAAAGAAACAAAGTTAGAATTGTGTTTTATATAGCCAACTTATTATTTTCTTATTAATAAGTAAATAAGATAAATTACCGAGATAAATCAAGTAGAATATAGAAAATCTGAAATTTTGAATCTTATAATGATTATAATTTTAATATTTTATTCTATGTTGAATAGAATTGAGATTAATTTTTTAATACACTTTGAACTGAGAATTCCAATTCTTATATAATATTCCCTGAAAGAAATTTCGATATGAAAAATATAAGAATAAAAGTAGATCGATTGACAAATATCATTATAATCTGATTAAAATAAAATAAAAGAGATATCGTAAACCTCGAAAAATATTCGTGAAAAATAACAAAATCTAATTTTCAAATAAATCACACAATTAATAATTGATAATTAATTATGAATTAATTTTTATTGAGTTAATTTTTTTCATTCCACAAAAATTGTAATAAATTTTAATCAAAAGTCAACCTTAATTGATTGAAAGATAGTAAAGCTTAATACAATATTATATGAAACATAATCCTTTTTATTTTGAAAGATTAAAATGAATTAATTTTTAACATGAAAATATCAGTACCTTCCATTCCAGAATTTTCCATTCATGTAAAATGCAACTTTTTTAGAAATTTTAATTTTCTTATATATATTATAAATTTTCTCACACATAAAATATTAGAATAATCAAAATATTTTTGAGATATATACTTATTTTTGAATATATACTTGGGAAAAATGCAATAAAAGTTTTTGAAGATATAAAACTTTTGAAGATTATAATTATCTTCTACTCTATTTAGATAATTTTTCAATTGCATCACGTTTCTGAAATTTAATATAAAATAATTAAACTGTTACAATCATTGTAAAAAAATAAGTGAATATATTTACGTGAAAAAATATCAGTATAAAACATTTCAAAAAGAAATTACATACGATTTTGCAACTGGATCTGAAAAAATCCAACAATTATTATAATAAAAGAAATAAAAAAAAAAAGAAAAGAATCGAATCAAAAATTCCTAACTAGTATTACGTTAAGTTAAGTACACAATATCTTTCTCATCTTCGATATTCGATTATTTCTGAATCCGATTCCCAAGTTGTTCCAACCAACTCGTACTTTTACTCGTAATCAGAATGATTTATGACAAACAGACAACTGTTATTTGTCCTTGTTTCAGATTTACTTTATCGTATTGGCGCTAACCACGGGTAAAGTGCTCCAGGGGGAGAGTCAATATCTGCGGGGGAATCGTTCGTTGCCGGAATCCAGCAGTTTCCTAGAATCGGATACCATATCCCCCAGTGAGTGTTCGGTTGCACCAACAACGATTCACGATTAGATGCAGCGGGAAAGGAATCGTGTAATTCCATTTCTCGTAATATAAGTCGCTAAACCAATCGCGCAATTGCCTGAAATCATACTCGAGTAGTAAATTGAAAAACGAGATCTCACGTTCAACATGCTTCTGTTGCTTCAGCGACGGTATGGTTTAACGTGATGCTGTTTATATGCTCGTGCTGCGGTGTAATTTGCAACATCCTGCTTCTCTATGGCCTCTATAAGGTAAGACATTCCAAACACTTTAGTTTAATAGCTTTCAACCTGTGGATTGACGACCCACGCAAAAGAGATTGTTGTTTACCATGTTCAATTAATTAATTTTAGTATTTTAATATGATTAATAAATTACGAATTTTCAAACATGTTCGATTATTACATCGAACCACTCGTTTGATTAATCAACGCGATTAAACCTTGATCAACTTGATCCAATTTACTTCGATCAAGAAAGTTTTTTAATCAATTCAAAATATCGAATATATTATTAATAATATCATTGTAATCAATGTTTTTTCAGGATTAAGCATATCTATCACGTGATTTATTCACTTAAAATTCGATTAAATTTTATTAAAAGTTAATTTAAACTTTCGATTCTCAAAATAATATAAAGAAAAGATAAATTCTTAATCATTTATTATTTCTATTCTTGTTGCTTATTCGAATCTCTTCCATTGACCAATCTCAAACTACAGACAAATGACAGACACGATTTCTAGAAGATGTATTTCTAAAAAAAAATATAGGTCATCAGATCGCAAGTCTATTTATAATTTCTGCACTATCTTGAGCAGCATGGACATTTGAATCTTTATATCTTGGTGATCAATTGAAATATTGATAAAAAATAACTTCAAATAACTTCAGCATGTTTTTCTTTACTTCTTGAATTGATTTTGATGATAAGATTTTTATTTTTTTCTCACGATTTTCATCAAAAAGTAAACTTTAGCTACAGTCCAATATCATATTGATCGATGACCAGCTCTTTTAGGATAATTGCATTTTCGTTACTCTGTAAACATATAAGATTTATGTAATATGAAAAATGAAAAATGGATCGAAATCTAGGTTAAAAAATTTCACCTGGATAAAGGCAGGTTTTGAAGTTGCAACGAAGGTTTTAAAGTTTTACAGCTTAGGTTCTTTACGGATATTGTCTGAGATTTTCCGACACGAGTCGTATCCTTTCGAACGAAAGAGGTTTAAAAATTTCTTATCGGTTTAGATCTTGCTGGTATTGCTTGTATAGATATTATTTTCACATAAATCAATATGAATTGTAAAGCATTTTTTTCACATAATAACATTCGAAGACGATTATTTAGTTTTAACAGAATGATTCGCATCAATTCTGAAATTAATTCTTAAATTTCATATCTATATATGCAATTAATAACTGAATAAGAAACAATACTTACAATTTTGCTGGAAGATTCTTAATATTGAAATCAATCAACTTGATAAATGACATAATGATACCACATATGTTTTAATATTAAACTTTAATTATCGCTTTTTGATTGTAACATTATAGTTTAAATGAAAATGATATTGAAATTTCGTTAAGTTTCTCGAGCTATTAGCGCTAGTAGTAAGTATAAACGTTATAGTTGACAAGTTTTCAGACGTGTATTTTGTATGGAATTCTGTAATATCGAAAATCGATAAATTTTGTTTCGTAATATTTCTTTCTTTGTAAAATTTTACAACGTGAGAGTGAATATATATAAAAATTATTTCGAAATTTTTTTCACCCTTTTTTCTGGTTATAAGTTAAAATTAATACGTATCCCTTAAAATGATACCTTGTCTAATTAAGTTCCTAAACTCTGGTTTCATGTTTCTGTAGTACCTTAGTCGCCTAATTCTCTTCTGGGAATGTATTTTGCACCAACATTTAATAGCGAGACATAAACTCTGAATCTTGCGTAACCTTGTTCGTTATAAACCACAGTCTTCATTCCCAAGGTACGTGGTTCTTACGTAAAATAGAAGTTATTAACAAAGTAAAATTAACTTCAACTCTCGGGCAATCCTTCAATCATTGTATCTGTAACATCGAAATATAAAAACATTAATGATACAAATATAAAAAATACGATGAAAAGAAAAAAATCTACTTATCTTTTTGTTTTAAATTCACTCGTAAATGGCGGATCATATATATAATAATTTCTTAAAATAAATTATAAAAGAAGAAAGTGAAGTCGTTTAAAAGAAAATTTGTAAAAACAGATTTACATAACTTGCAAAGTTAAAATTGATTAAATAAATATATTAATATATCAATCAAATAATTTATTTTTATATGATTTTTGTTTCTTTCTTTTTTTTTCTTTAAGAAAATCGAAATGTAATCAATATCATATCCTAATTTACTAACTTTTGCATCTGTCGCAACTATCTTCATCTATCATTTCAAATGACAGACAAATCCGACCTTTGGGGAAGATCGATACAATTTTTATCATTGTCTATCGGAAACACGGCAACAAGTTTTCTGATACGGAAAAAAGCATCGCGAATTGAAAGACTGAAACGAAATTCTAGCTTACTGGATCGAGAAAGATTTCAATTTTTGAATATACTGCTCTCCTATCCATTCCTATTTCCTATCTGCATTTCATACATATTCGTGTATCTATTTTCATACTCGCGTCAAATTCCAAAAGTAATACAAGTTGAAAAAATATTATTTTAAATTTAAACGCAGAAAAAGATTAAACGATTCGTTATAGAATGATAATAATAACATGTTATCATTTAAAAGATAAAATTTTCGTATTTTTGTTAAACGGGAATATATAAGAAAGTAAATCTAATTAGAACGTGTGTATAATTGCATTACAAATCATTTGTTATATCGATCCTTGAAATCTGTGAAAGGAATAGGAAAAGGTTGGAAGAGAAATACTTTCTGTCTAGTCAACGAGGGTGTACAGAATTTATGAGCAAGATAAGACAATACCCTTGGGTTGACATCCGGTCAACCGCAAAATTTCTTCCGAAGTTTTGCCCTCTTGATCGAATTGAATCTTCGTTACCTATCTCTTAAAATACGATCTTATGCAAAATCGAATCGATATAAATTTATGAAAAAGATATTTCGATAACGCGCCTCGTGAACTATGATTTAATAAATAGTTCAATAATTAATTACAGAGAGAAGAAGCTTCACACTATTTTGTCAAGCTCTTCTTGACCAAAATGATTTTTTAATAACTTATTATGAAATGTACAATATTCACTTTAATAACTCTAAGAAATTTGAGTTTGCTAAATTTGTAAAATTATACAAGAAATCATGATTTTCTTTCAGAGAAGAACAAGATTGACAAAAAGAGAATTACATGAGGATGTTTTCCTTATATTTAGAGTGTTCAAAAACAATTAAACTAAAGAGATAATTCTTTCTAAAAATTTTTACCAATCCTACAAGATCTTAGAAATTCCTGGAAGGAATCTATAAGAAAACAGAAAAAAAAAAAAAGAACAAATTACTTTCCAAAGGGTTATTTACTTTGTCGCCGCACGATCAAACTTAGAAATCAATTTTCGAGGCAGTACACAGCGATTTACAGAGCAACGATGAAATAGTTCTCTTAAATCCAAAGGGAAACTAACTTTTCGAATTGGATTCTGTCCGATTCGTGATACGTTAATGCAATTAAGTTCTCGTCGAGTTGATCCGGATGTTGCCTCCGGATGTAGCGCATCCATCAGTTAGAATCATACACGTTCAACGATTAAATTGCGTCTTCTTGCTCGAAAGAACGCTCGTCAATCTGAAATAGGAATATCAATTTTCGTCACGGTGTTGATTTATCGACGTTTTTCGCGTGCAATCGACATTGCTATCACTCACTTTGTGAACGACGCCTTTCTTATGTAAAACACAGACGTAACATGATACAAAGCGCATTCGTATTCTTGAGAGAACGATAATAAATAAAAACAGGAAACATTTTCGTATTCTCTTTTGAGAGAAATATCGTTGTTCTTCTTCGTAATCAATTGAATCGATTTAATTTCAGTCATTGTAGATTTATCAAATATATGATATTTAATCTTGTGATACGTATTCGTAAATTTAGAGATGAATAAAAAATAAATATATTTTTAAGAAAAAGAATATTTAGCTCTTTTTTTAAATATATATGAATCTTATGTGTACAAATAAATTAATTTTATGTAATTTTATTTACTATGAAAATGAGATCTATATAAAAATAAATTTGCATGATCAGTTAAGGATATAAAAATCGAGAATTAATTTTCGACAATGTAATTTGTCAATGTATTTCGAACTCTGATGTTTAAGAATTAAATCTAATTATCTTTTGCATCTCCACAAGATCCAATGTGACTTTTATATCGTCCAATCATTTTCCAATTAGTTTAGCTTCCAGTCGAGATATTAATCGTCTTATCGTGAATTTTCACGCAGAATAAATCCGCCGATTCCTTTTTCTTATCGACTTCCTTATCCATTAGTCATTTTATGGTAAAACCACGCGTTTATTTCGTGATAGTAATCGATGATGAATAACCATGGCAACCATTTCGCCAAGATCCTCCATATTCAGACCTTCGATTTTACCCTCTTTGCTATTTGTCATCTGGAATCGATCATTTTTAACGCGTTAACCGCCACGATATATTTTCGTATACATCACAAATGAAATATTTTCATTTATTTTATATATAAAAATACCTTACTATTGTAATTCTATTTAGATTTTATAGATTTATTTGTTTAAATTTTGTATTGATTTAATTTTTGATCTATTTAGTCTTTTTTTATTTACTTATTTTCATTTATTTAATTGATACGCACAGAATGAGCGCAAACAAAACTCTTGTAGAATTTTTTTCACATTCGTATCGCTATGTTGATTGCCCCAATTTCCATTTCTTTGTCGCTTTAAGGAAAATAATTCAAATATTTACCTGCAATACAAAAATATATTATTGAAAAGAAAAATTGTATGTTTTGTGACATAAATTGTACGTACCTTTTGTTGCATTACTTTTTATGTAAAATATATTCATATATTCGTGTAATAAAATATATTCCTAAGAGTATACTTTGTATTTATATTGGTGTCTCTCATTTGAATTCGCACAGCATTGTACTTTAATCCATTTTTTGTTAAAAAAAAGATATATTAAACATTCGTAATAATATATATACGTATACATATTATAATATACGTCTATCATATTCATTAAATTCATTTAATTTTATTATTACATTAAATATTGTATATATATGAGTCAGTTTTTACATAAAATATTCATACATTTAAACATGCTAATGTATGCAACAAAAAAACTTTTCCACGTATTTCAATTGAATTTTAAAAACATCTTTCGCGAATAATTACAATCCAAGATAAAAAATGATTTTATTATGAATATAAATACATAATATGTATCACCTTATTATATTTTATGAATAGCTATAAACAGAATAAATAATATATTCTTAGAAATTAGTTGTGTCTTCTTTTTCAATTCTAGTCATTTATTTCTTCCTCTTCATCGTTGTATCAAATTAATCGATCCAATCTATATATTAGAATATAATATCTCTTTTCGCGTATATAAAATAATAATTTTCATAAATATAACTTGCAACAATAATAAATTAAAGAACAAAATGAATTTCCATTTTCTGCTAAAAAAAAAAAAGTTAATTAAATCTGTTAAACCAAAGTAAATCTCTTATATGTATATAAAAGTTTAATATTACCTTTGCAGTGCAATACATTCATGCGTCAAAATGTTGATAACATAGAGACGTGTTTTAATTAATAAATTAAAAAGAATCGTGATATTTATATTCGCAATTTTTTTATACAAAAATGATATATTCTTTGAGAAGTTTCAATAGAATTAAATTCATAAGTGTGGAAATGATTACGTAGCTCTGCATTATTGCAGTTACTTTTTTTTAACGGAACAATTCGCAATTCCAAGAAAATAAGATATTGTTTCACTTTACAAAAGAGAGAAACTTCCTTTTCTTTCCCCGTAGAGAGCTCGTTTATACCTTTAACCCTCTGACTATAAGTACACTTTACTTCGACAGTGTTTCTCGTTTCTTGACGAGGTGCAACGAGTCGGATCAAATTCCGACGAAAAGGGATACGAGGAAAAAAAGAAAGGAAGATATTTAAAATTAAAAAAGATCTATGAAATTATTTTCTTAAAACCGGGCTTCTCGTTCTTCATTTATTTCTGTTCACTTATGATCGATGTCTTTCAGGATCAACGTGTCTTTCTCGTACCCTGGATTATCGTTGTCATCACGACCTGTTTCGTCGATGTGGCACATTCCTTATACTTGTTTATCGTTGCTGTAAGTATATCTTTTTTCGATTACATGGAAAAAGGATAATTATTAATAATCGTCTCTTTATGCATAAAAAAATATGTAAAAAAGATGCTCGAATATTTGAAGATATATTAATCTTGTCATTTTTTATTATACATATATTTATACATATTTTTTTATCGTGAAAGAAACAATCTTCTTGGTTATTTAATGAATTAAGAAAAGTACATACC